CAAAACAGTGGGGGGTGTTTAGTTCCTGAATCCCCTACTTGGTAAATTATTATCTTGATATGGTATGGCAAGATGGAGCTTGAATTCCAGAATATTAAAGCTGTATCCTTTCCAGGTGCCAGGTATGCCTATGCAGCATGCGCTAAGTCCATTCCATGTTGTGTGTGCTTGAAAGTAGTTTGTTGGTTTGGAAATTGAGTCTGTAATTAATATAGACTTGAAGTCACTTCTTAGCCTTGCTAATTAGGATTTTTTTTTTATTGCAGCTGAAATTGTATAAAGTGGAGGAATTACATGATATACTTTCTTTTGATTTTTGTCTTGAGGGGCTGACTACGTGTGTTGCCCTGTGTGTGGTCTAGTATGGCATGTGGAATATCTGTAGATGTTGGGTTAATAATAAAACTGCTGCAGGCAGATTTTTTAATCTTTAAAGTGGTTGATAATAAATAGATAAGGGCATATCCTGTTTATGTTAATCATAAGATTTGTATTTCATATTTTGAAATTGTATGATTATAATCTTATAGCAGGCTGCGAAAAATCTTTTTTTTTTTTCCTTGTCCAGGAGGACAAGTACACCTGACTTTCCACTCGTCCTCTTCTGAATTCCACTTGTCTGAAATATTTATATATATATATTATAAAGAAATTTATCAACTATGATATATGAAACTAATATAAATAACTAATATATGAAACTGATATAAACAAATATGGCAGCCTCCATAATCATAGAACTGAAAGGAACTAGACCTTGCTAGATTTCATTAATTTTAGGGAAAAATCTACTGGAAGTTTTTACTCGTCCATGCGGACAAGCGAGGTAAACATTTTACTTGTCCTCCACAAGTTTACACTCATCAAAGACGTGCAGACGTGGGATTTTTCGCAGCCTGTTATAGTACTTAAAATAGCAAATTGGGTGACACTTGTTTCCTATATGTTTCATAGAATTATACACACTGTTGACTGCTAAATAACTAGGGCAGGATAATTCAATCTTCAGTTTTGCTTGCTGCAGCTTTAGTGTTTAATTACAGATAACCTCCCTTGGTGGTCTTTCCTAAAATGTTCTCATTAATGAAACTGTGTGTGTGTGTGTGTGTGTGTGTGTGTGTGTGTGTGTGTGTGTGTGTGTGTGTGTGTGTGTGTGTGTGTGTGTGTGTGTGTGTGTGTGTGTGTGTGTGTATCTTTTCTAGTGAAAAGAAGGTGATACCAATAGATATTTGAACTGTTTGATATGAGGATGATGGATAAGTAGATGTTGATTGATAGTCTGATTAATTGTTTAAAACTTATATATTATTTAAGGAATAGAAACACGCACAGAAATGAGTATACCCAAACCATCAGGGATGTAAAATTAGACTTTGAAAATATAATCAATAAATGTACAAGCCAACCAAAGCTCTTCTTTAACTACATAAATAGTAAGACTAAAAGTAGAGATCAGATTAGCGCCATTGAAGACAATAACATTGTTTATACTAAAGAAGAGGAAATGTATGAAATCCTTGATGAGAAATTTCAGTCAGCATTTGTTCAGGACCCATACTTTGAAATGGCAAGTAACCGTACAATGTAAATCAGAATATTGAAAATATTAGGCTTGAAAAGAATTAAATAAAATACCTACTGAAAGGGTTAGACAAGACTAAGCAGAGGGACCAGATGAGATATCTAACTGGGTTCTGAGGGAATGTGCTGAAAAATTATGTACTCTGTTATTATTAATATTTCAAAATTCAGTGAGACAAGGAAAACTACCAAAAGATTGGAAACTTGCCAGTATTACACCTTTATAGAAGAACAGCGACAAACAAAACCTTCTAAATTCTAGATCAATTATGTTAACTAGTGTAGTATGCAAGCTGTTAGACAGGTTAATTAGGAAACAATGGGTTGAAGTACTTAAAAAACACTAAATGGTATCAAATAAACGTTTTGGTTTTAGGGAAGCAAATCTCAGTTTCTACGATAGAGTTTCTGAAACACTACAAGAAAGAGACGACTGAGTGGATTGTGTATGCTTAGACTTTAATTACATGTCGCTGGAGAAAATGAATAAAAAATGAGGATAATGCTGTGCTCATTTTTTATATTCTTGTGAAATGTCTCTGCACATAGATGGCTCTGCTAGTGCTTAGTCACAAAGATGTCAATTAGTAGACCTTGTGACCATTTCTCCATTCTTTGAATTTTCAGAAAGAACATATTTTATAGTAATGCTATGAATATCGATGGTGTTATTTTTATTATAGAAATTATCATAACTATAATGTTATAAACATTAGGAACAGCAAAATAAGATAACGTAAAATATTTTCGTAAATCAAGGAAAAGGGTAAACGGGCGAGACAGGCAGTACTCATTGGTGACTTAGTACAAGTGTAGTGATCTATGTGTAAAAACAAGTAAACTCACAGTGGGCATGGCATGTACATACATGCTATGCCCGTCAGCATTGGATTAAGAAGGCATTTTATAAGATGTCTCATAAAAGGTTACTATGGAACTTAGAACACCTAGGTGGAGTGAAAGGCAAACTCCATGAATAGATGGAAGACTTGTTTCATGAAAGACAGATGAGAACCATAATTAGAGGGAAGCAGTCTACATGGCGATGAGTAACGTGTGGAGTATCTCAAGGATCAGTCTTGGCATTGATTATGTTTACTATTTTCATAAATGATTTAGGATCAACATAAGCTCAGTGTGAATATGTTTGCAGATGATGCAAAATTGCAAAAACAGATAACAGATGATGTCTCAAGCCATTGCCTCCAAAATGACATCCAGAACCTCTTCATTTGGAGTTGTACATGGAAAATGGAATTTAACACCAATAAATGCCCTGTAGTCAGGTTCTGAGAAAGTATAAATCATCCACTATAGCAATATGAGTTAGGAGACGTAATATTAAACCAAGCAGATAAAGAAAAAGACCTTGGAGTAACTATAAACAGGAACCTAAGCCCAAATGATCATATAAATGACAAGATTCATAAAATGCTAGGAGTGGTTGCCAACATGAAGAGGGCATTCGTGTATGTGGACAAAGACATGGTAAAGAAGGTCATTACAGCCTTCATAAGTCCTAGTCTTGAGTATGGTGCTGTGGTATGGAGTCCACACCTAAAAAAGGATAAACTAGAAAGAGTTCAAAGAGCAGCCGCAAGACGGGGACCTACTCAGAGAGATACGAGCTATGAAGAAAGACAGAGAGGACACAGCAAAAAGTTGAAAGTAAAAGGATGCGAGAAAAATGTCAAGTTGTTTCCCAAACAGAACTATTGAAACATGGAACAATCTTCCAAGTAATATTGTGTGTGCCAAAAATGTGCATAAAGTTAAAAACTTGGTGTGTTAGTTTAGCAGAGTGGCTATAGAAACCCCTTTCTAAAACTACTATTTGATTCCTTGCATCTTATTGGAAGAAAAGGTATGAATTATACTAGTGAAATTGCATTGTTAAAATGTGAAAAGGTATTAAAAAAGTTGTTACTGAGCCGTATATCTAATGAAAAGTTTCCTTTGCTTTCATTGAAAATTGAAAAATATGTATATTGTTCAACTATATTGTATGGAATGCATACTACTTTTTAAAAAATTACCATATATAGCCACAAATTTTCAATTGATATGATCTTAGGTAATCTTGACGGTATACATATCTTAACCCATTGGATCTGGAAGCCTTACTACCATCACATGGGCCAAAATATAGGCCTTGATCTTACTTGATCGGCCATTTTGATGGGTGCGGCTTGTGGGCATGGGAATTCTGCGTTCTGTGTCTCCACCCTACATTATTATTTTCAATCAAAAGTTCCTTAATAGGGAAAGATGCAGAATAGAAGTGAGCTCAGCAGACACTTTGTAAACTTATGATTGAATTATGAGATGGTCCTAATATTGACATTTGATTTGTCTAGGTTCTGTCTTGTCATGGGGGAAACCAGTAGATAAATGTTTTTTTTCTGTATGGTTGCAGGGTATATATGTAAGTCATGTGACTTTATATTAAGGTGCTCTTTAGTTTAATCCTGCAGTTTTTTTTATATTTCATTTTTATTTTTGATACTTTAAATTTATAATTTTCCATCATCTTGAGGGCAGTATTTTGTTTATGGATCTTGATTGAACATGCAAGTATTTTAAGACTATAGCAGTTCCTTGTTACCAATAATTATTGGACACTGTGTCATCCACATCATTACACCATGTTGTGCATGTTTTGTTGATGCTAATGCCAGGAGCTGGCTGTCTAGATATATAGCATCTATTTTTCATTGGAAATGTATTTTCTGGTAATATTAACTTTTTTAGATTTACTACCACTCAAGATACATGTTCTTGTTAGCTCCCATTTCATTATTTGTATTGATAAACATTGGAACTTTGGATAGTATATGATATTTTCCAAGTTGTATGTGTGTAGAACCAAAACTGTGTGGAAGTGTGGAGTGATCATTTTATGATGTATAAAGTGACAACCATGTGGGAAGTTCCTGCTGGTGATGCTGTGAATGGCATAGTAGTCTGATATGATATTAGTACAGATTATATAAGCTTCTGGAATGGTTGATTTTTGTCTTGGGGTCAGTGATATGATACTGCTTCATTTTCTTTGAGAGGATGAGTGCATGTGAAAATGACAGTAATGGCATTTAGAAGAAAAGGAAAAGTCCTCTTACTTGATCAGGAATCATTCTTTATTTCTTTAGATAAAATGGGTTGATAGATCATTAGGAATTAATTCTTTAGAATGTGTTTCAAACTTATATAAAATGTTCAGTGGCTTCCCTCCATGATTCCTTCCCTCCCACACAGAATCGCAGCACCAGCTCAGAATCGGCAAGCTCAACCAGCGGGTCATCGTCATCCTCCTCCTCCTCGTCTTCTTCCTCCTCCTCCTCTTCCTCCTCGGACTCCTCGTCCTCGTCTGACACCGATCAGTCCTCTGCCGTTTCCACCAGGTGAGAGGAGGGTTGAGA